CTATAGTCAAAATACTGAGACCGCCATTTATTCTGCCGCACCCGTTACATCGACATACAAAGTATTTTCACTAGACAAATTTTCTATTCATTCTGATTTTTTCCTATGAATGTACATAAATTTTTCTTTGATAAGACTCAGTGTTGGTGAGATGTTTATGCAAGAATCGTTTATCTCTAAAAGTGCAATCTATCAAATAGATTATTTTAAAGACTGTAAAAGAAAAACTGAAATTCACACAAAGGAACTTTATAACTTAAAACTAGAAAACAAAGCAATGGTTTCTCGATTCCGTTGCAATAAGTTTAGAAGTTGATCAATTAGAGATAGCAAATAAGAGAAGAAAACGAGAAATAGATGAATATTTATATGATGGATTAATTTGATTGTTGAGTGTACATAACATAGTAAAAAATATAAATAAACAAACAAAGGAAAGAATAAAAATGAAAAAAGACTGTTATTAGTATCTGTCGTAAACTGTATATGTAGAGAACGAAAACTTATGCATGTGTTAGTGGCTTTTTCATCGAATGAATAGGTTAGAAAAATATTCTAACTTTCATTGAAAACAAAGCAACTAGCATTCCTTGGCAGTCTGTATAAAAAGTCAGTAATAAAAACAATAAGAGCTAGGATAAAATTTGGATCAAGTGTTGTAGTGGTAATAGACAAACATGTCCTACGTTTTTTCTCCTGAAAATTAATCTCTTCAATGAACGAAAATGGGATAAATTGTAATACTCTAATTATGGATCACTCGAAATTCTGTTAAGAATTATAGGAAACACTGTAAAACTAGTTGTTGCATGGAAACGATTTAACAAAGTTCTGATAACGGTCTATTATTATTTATAATTTTTCTAACTTGACTAAGAAAGTTTATCTAATCAAGATAAATTTGTTTTATTCATTGACATTTGTCATGTTTTCTATACAACTACTTCTTTCTTTCCTAACATTCAAGTATACTCTGCTATGCTATAATCATAAAATTAATCTCAAGAACAACCCTATTTAAAGGATTCATTTTTCAATAAGGCATCATAGAATCTTTGTCTATATGTTGACAAATTTTTATTTCATAAAACGGTATTTTTACTTAAAACACGAATCTAACTATTCATTTAACTTGTTGATTAAATGGCTCATTCTTTCCCAAAACACTACATTATAAATGCTATGCTCTAACAAGTCTTTAAACAATTCGTTTTTCTAGTGTACAAACGAAAGACACGACTTGTAATGCATGACAAATAAATCTCTAGAACATATAGAAGCAAACTCATTCGAACGATGTCATCAAATAGCGTTGATTGGAAAGAAAAAACACGTTTTCTCATGTAGGCGGGCAAACAGTGTTATTTAGATAGTGACGCAAGTTGAGAAAATACGTTATAAATAAAAGCCGATGTGTTCAAACGTAAATATTGCGTTTTTTTTTTCAAAAACTTGACGTTCAAATGCTGTTTTGTATAAGTTTTATTTTCCCAGGATGAAATTGTTACAAACCTCGATATACTGCATGTTAAATCACTAGCCATATCGTATCGTTATGTAATAAAAATCAACACGTATCATAAAATTGAAGTTTCTAGAGAAAAAGATGTTTTATCTAGAAAAAAATATGAAAATAATCTTATATAAACATGTTTCAAAGCAATAGTTCTACTTGACAGAAGATGTCATTATCAACCATAATTATGTAAAAAAACGAAGTTACCATCGATACTAACACAAAAAAGAAGAATGAAAAAAAGGATTAAACAAATGTAAAACTATGATATACACTAGTTATACAATGAAGCAAACGGCAGACATACGTACGATAAACATTTCTATTGTCAAAAACGGCATTTGAAATGGTTAGAAAACGACGTATTACTGCGTTAAATTTCATCATATTTTATCACGAGTCTTTTTCCTCTAATCAACAGCTATAGCTTTCCAGATCTTTTCCACCGCTTTATGGGATCATGGCAAACGACAAAGTAGTAGCGCTGTTCTCTTGAATCTGCATAGCACAATAATGATACGCAGAATACTGCTTCATAATGTGCAAGGTAGATAAAAATCAGAGACAGACAAGTGTATTACAAGAACCGATATCAATATTTACTCTAGGCAAAAAAAAAGAGAAAAAAACGTTATATATATATATATATATGTAAAATTGTTCGATGACGATAAAAGTGTAAGTCGAAATAGATAACCAGGATTAAAATTACTTGTGCCGCATAAAACAAAATTTTCTTCGTCAAATACAATAAACCAATGTACGAATGGTCGTACTTGAATACAATGATAATTTGAAATAGTAAAGAACTAAATTGATTTCAATGCATACTAAATGTCTAAAGAAATTGTTCAACAGAGTATATAAGGACTATTCTGTATGTCTTTTCAGAAATCGAACTTCAAAGTCTCATGAATTTCTTATTTTTTGCTATGGTTTCCGACCAAAAACATTGACGTGTAGTTTGAAGTATTCTCTATGCATTAATCTAAAAACTCTCAAAAAGTATCTTTGGGAGTTCATTCATCACCTATTTTATTATAAGGTCCTTTCTTTATTTACAATGGTCATGCATTAATAAATTATGAACATATGACACTCAGCTTAGAAATATTTTAAACAGTCAACAAAATAGCTGGAAAACTTGCTTTGCCTTCTAAATTACTTTATTTATCGTGTGAAAAAGATTGAAAAATAATTTTTACACTACTGAATAGAGCATTTCTTGTACTATTATTAATAAGATTGACTCGTCTATATTCTCTACTAAGAAGAAATACAAGTCAAAATAGAAAAAGATAATTAATAAAAAGAATAAAAATCTTGTTGCCAATTGCCCTATTAAGAATATTCTGAACTCTATGCTACAATGACTATAATGTGTCAATTTTTATATCTGATCACTTTCAAAACTAACTTCACCATTCGATTACAAGTCATATGTTGAAAAGAATTATGGAGAATCGAATTTTGGACGATTGAATACAAAATTCTATAACCTTAGGATGAATAAAAATAGAATTTCATCGACAAACACTAAATCGTATCTGTTGATCAATATGTTTTCATGAGTTACTTTAGATGTTTTTACAATGGATTGTTAAGATATACGTAAATATTTTGGTAGTGTAATTTATGATGTGCTCTCAAATGTATTCTAAATCATTGCAAGTATGATAACTACAGCAAACTACAGGAAATAAAAGATGAAGTACTCAAATAGCGGAAATTAGATATCATGATGCAATATAAGAAAATAAAAATTACATAGGTCCACGAAAAATAAAAGTTATCCTGTTTTACTTTTCTATAGAAAAGTTTTACTTTTTTATAAATGATATTTAGTCCTTTAGTCCCTTTAGTCCTTTTAGTCCCTTGAGCTCGTAAGGGATGTTAACTACATACCACAACATTCCAGTTGTGTTCGTTTCTATTTTTGGTTTAGTCAAATTTTATGTCTTCGAATGATTACAAAGATTTATGATGGAATTTTAAAAAAAGCAATTTATTTTTCTATTAGTGAATGTTAGGATCGGACATCTATATGTATATATATAGGGTGTGGGTGCCTATGTAACCGTCTGTTTAACCCAAATCCACCCTCACCCCATCGAAACCCACACACCTACATCCTATATATACATATACATATAGATGTCCGATCCTAACATTCACTAATAAAATATATTGTTTTTTTTAAATTCCATCATAAAGCTTTGTAATCATTCGAAGATATAAAATTTGACTAAACTAAAAATAGAAATGAACACAACTGAAATGATGTGATGTGTAGTTAACGTCTCTTACGAGCTGAAGGGACTAAAGGGACTAAAAGGACTAAAGGGACTAAAGGGACTAAAGGCACTAAAGGGACTAAAGGGACTAAAAGGACTAAAGGGACTAAAGGGAGTACATAGTGTATAGAAAAGTAAAACAGGATAAGAGTAAATTCTCGTGGACCCCTCTTCTTGTTCTAGATCTCATCTTTCAAATTCTGCCGACATTTATATTTGACTTATATTTAATTGAGCAATAAAATGATTTAAGTGAGCAATATTGAAATTGAGCAATAATATATTGAATTAGTAATAATAATACTGAATGAGCAATAATAAATCTGAATGACAAATAATTATTTTGAATGAGCAATAATTTATTTAATTTAAACGTAAATTCTATATAAAAACATAACATGGATTCATTAACGTTATAGTTTCCTTTCCTCCTATCATGTCGTATTGATTACATATATACAACATAGAAATATATATTCTTCTTCTTTTTTCTTTTCTTTGTTTCTAGGTATTTTCCAAACATTCCCTTATTCAGGTATTTTTCCCTCTCGTTTTAGCTGTTTTCTATGTTCTCTTTGATTTTTCCTATCGTGTTCACATATATATTGTGTGCGTTTCGAAAATAAATCGAATTTTTCTTAGCAATTTACTAATACAAATGGCTCATTCACAACGTGTGGCGCAATATAGTTCGGATAGCGAAAGTGACAATGATATGAAACTGGAGTTTTCTAATAATAAAGAAAAAGTTAAAAGAAAAAACAATAGAAGAAAATGGGTTCCAGTATGTATGTACAACAGCAAGGATGATGCTATTAATAAAATAAAGATTGATGGTATATGGGGCAAAACTCATACATATATAACCAGTGAAGGTAAAAAAGTTTATTACAGATGCAAT